GCACATAGTCCCGCTGGCTAACGTACAAACAACTGATTATCTTGATGCATGCATAAATAATTAATTATATGAGCTGAACATTAGAAATAATTAGTCATTTATAATTAATGTTAATTAGTTCATGATTTTTATTTTCATATCAACTAAATCAAAATTAAATGTATGACTTTTATGATATTTTCCCGTCACTTTGAGTTTTAATGCTAACATACAGACAGATACAAAGAGATGTTATTAGTATACGAATGAGAGAGAAAGGGAGACGGAGTAATTAGTAATTTAGAGTTAATGAGGTAATTTAAGAGGGCAGAGAAGATACGTATGATAACTGAGTTTCGTAACGTGAATTCAACCTCCAACTAATTTCGGTTTTCCGTTTATTTACTTCCTTGTATAGTTAATTAATCTTATTCCCTCCTTTGCCAGCTCATCCTATCTGATAAAAGAACAAAATATAACTAAAAAAAAAGATACTATGCTGATGACGTTTTCTTTTTTATCATTTATTTAAAATTTTACAATTTACATATATACATAAATATTACATGTGAATATATTTGTCCGTGAAATATTTGGATGACGTTTTCAGTACATATAAATTACCAAAGACATTAGGATTGACTTCAATACTTCGAATTCGTAAACTGCCTTTAACCATAAACTGTATATAAACAAAGAAATATTGGCACTATATTGTATGCTAGGTAGTAGGCAGCTATCAACAGGGAGGTACTACCGCCTGGGAAGATATTGGAAGCATAATGTGTTGTCTAATGGTAGACCCTGCTGCCATATGTGACCAAGTCCCAGGTTGCTGATCTGACTTTCTGCCTCATTTACTCACAATTGCAGGGTCTCAATTGTTTCTCTTACTATTGACAACACAATATACATATATTGTTTCTCACTTTTGATCTTTTTTTTCATTTTTGTATTTCTTTGTGGTTCTTTATTATCATTATTATTATTATTAGTATTAGTATTATTATTATTATTATTATTATCATTATTTTTTATTATTTTATTTTATTTATTTTTTATTATAAAATTTATTTACTATGAATTATTATTATTACATTTTCGCCCCCCAGGCCCCGATGTGGGTCAGTGACCTGTGCCCGGGTGGGCTAATACCCGTAAAAAAAAAAAATAAAAATGCTTTCACCAACACATTTGAAAACTTCCTCCGTCGAAGTGTATGCTAGAAATGAATAATACTGTACTTAATTCACATTGGCTACCTTTCGGCTACGGCAGTCTGAATACGACGTCAAAATTAAAAGATACTTAACTTATGAATACAGTGTAGCATTTTATTTTTAATGATTTGTACATGATATACAAATGGCGACAGTTTTGCAAGAACAAATAAAATATTCTGCCTTTTACAACAACATAAATATTAACCTAATCTCTCTACTTTATCCTCATGTAAATATTTATTATTATTATTATTACACAATCAGTCTTGACGGACCTAATAAGCACTAGAAACCCCAGCTTATTTCACCTACTGTTAATCAAACCAAACCATTACCCGTGCCAAGGAGAAACATAAAGCATCACAAAACAATTAATCTTCTCTCTAAACCAGAATTTAATCTTCACTCAAGACCCACAACTGGTGAATCTTTCTGGGCGTAAAACCAACTGATCCATCCCAAGAACACTTCCACACCCTACCACACCCTCGGCTCTTCTCCGCTCCGGTATCACAACAACCATACCATAGCTCAGCGGGGTGGGCACACACACACACACACATACACACACAGCCTACTTACATTCACTGTCATTTAGCCACACTCTCTTAATGCCTCCTGCAAACAAGATTATTTCCTACAGCCTCCACATTTTCCACTCGACAACATCTCTATTATACCAGCCACTAAGTGTCAATATCATCGGTCTAACTATAACAAAAGACCATCCAGTGTTTCCCTTTTGAGCGTTCTTTAATATCTTACTTTCTAAAAAAAAAATAATATCCTTTACAATAACCCCCACGTCCGTCTTTACAATATAATACTACGCTGACGCTCCTACATGATACTGTACTTTTAAAACAATATACTACATGTGTTATCTTAATGATTCTTGCCTCATCAATAAACCGTCTCTTATTTCCTCCTTATATTCCATTCATATCTAAAAACCTGTCTCTTTACTTTCTCCTTTCTCATTTTTTTACTGTCGTTTCCATGGTCAGTGAACATGAAGACCAACATTTCCTTATCCTTTCAGTCCTAGACACAACACGTCATTCATGCCACTTCTCCATCTTCATTCCTCACACTTTAAGGAACTCTGTCCTCTTCCTTCTCTCCAGTCACATACAATTTACATCTCTGAATGTAGACTACAGTGCTAGTACAATTCGCAGCACTTTCTAGCATTAATGACAACTATAGCATATCCTAGTGCTAGCAGTATCAGTAGTACATTCTAGTGTTAGCAGCGGCAGCATAGCAACATATTCTAGTGGTAGCGATAGCAGCAGCGTCAGTACTGTCCTGTGCCAGCATAAGAAATTTTTTAAATCTAGTGAAAGAACTTCCCAGTCTTAACAGCAACAACACTTCACAATGTTTACTGAAGTATCAACACTGCCCAGGTCTAGCAGCGGCACCTTTCAGTGATACTAGAAGACACACAGTCTAGTGCTAACACCACCACCTCCTAGTACTAGTAAAAAATCAACACAGTCTAGAGCTAACAGCAGGGCCTCTCAGTGCTGAAGGAAGCATCGTGTTCAGCACCTACAACATCCCTTTCCAGAGGTAGTAACAGAAGAACCTCCCTGAACATACAACAAAAGCAAAATATCACATTTCTACCAAAAGAATAAAAGCTTGGTGCTAGAATGAACAATAGCATCTCTTTGTTCTACCAGAAAGTGCAGCACTTCTACTAACATGAGGAAGCCACAGCACCTCTAGGTGTTAGCAAAGAGCGTAATACCCAACTGTGCCAACAAAAAGTGGCATGTCCCTCTGGTGTCAAAATCTACTTATATGAGTCCAACTAACACACCACTTCCAAACTCTTGTACAAGTAGTGGTGGCTCTCCCAACTAGCAGAACTGTTTCTCAACCTAAACTGAAGCATTTCTCAAGGCTAGCAGTAACAACAAAATCACCTCAACACTGTCAAGAGCAATATTTACCACCAGTAACAACTCCTAACAAAGACAACAGCAGCGACACTTCCGAACACTAGTTGCAGCAAAAGACGCACAACCAACACTAGCACTTCCAATACTAGTAGCAGACGACGCACTTTGTAACACTAGCAGCAGACGACACACCTTCCAACACTAGCAGCAACACCTCCCAACACCAGCAGCAACACCTCCTAACACTAGCAGCAACACCTCCCAACACTAGCAGCAACACCTCCCAACACTAGCAGCAACACCTCCCAACACTAGCAGCAACACCTCCCAACACCAACACCTCCTAACACTAGCAGCAACACCTTCCAACACCAGCAGCAACACCTCCTAACACTAGCAGTAACAACAGCCGCAATACCTAACACTAGCAGTAGTACCTGGCAATACTAACGGCACTACCAATCAACTCTTAACATCAACTCCCCCCCCCCCTCCTATTGCTAGTAGGAACACCACTGCCTTCTAAAACCAGGAATTTCAAGAAGAGTTATTTTTGATAGTGATAAGCAAGAAAATAGTAACCGGTGGTGGGTTACATAGAGGGTGGTACTGGCGTCTCGTATAACACCTTATAATTTAATTTTAGTGTTGTTTTGATGCTCCTTAGGGGGGGTCTCTGGGGACCTGAATTCAGCTTCTGTCATTAGATTTTTGAGCTTATTTTATGCTCCCTGGAACGTCATCACCACCCTGCACAAAATAACACACTGTCAGATTCGCAGTGCACAGAGTTCTATTGGAACCCCTAACAAAACTACCAGTAGCACCTCCCAGCACAAGGACCAACACCTCCCAGCACAAGGACCAACACCTCCCAGCACAAGGACCAACACCTCCTGGTACTAACACCAACACCTCCCAGTGTTAGAAGCAGCAGCTACCAACAACAGTACCTCAGCAGCAGCCCCTCCCAGTACTGGCGATATTTTCCAGGGCTAGCAGTACCACCAAACAATAGCAACATCGCCTCTTAGCACTGGCTACTGCAGCACCTCCTAGCGCTAGCAGCAGTACCCCCTAGAAATAACAGCAGCACTTACTAGCACCAGCAGCTACAGCAGCTGGTGGTTATGGGGCAGCCCCTATATCAGGTCAATATTTACCTTGCTGTCACTCCCAACGTTTGCGGTCATATTTCACCAGCTGAATGGCTTTTACACCAGCTGGCGAACTCTAGCTACACCGTTTTCCTACAACATCTCTTTGTGATTTTTTCTTATTACTTGAACTCTTCAACTCTCTCAGTCGGAGTATTAAAGTGTGTATCACCGGTACCTGAATCTTCACCAATACCATGCCCATTAAACTACCTACTTTTCCTTTTCCTTACCTCACACAATAACATTTGTTGACTCGTTTTGTACTCAGAATCTTGAACTACCGATATAAAAACTGCAGAATAAATTTCTGGCAATGCAATGTGTTGTTTAGATGATAAACAATGAAAGGAGGCATAACGATAGATTATTCTTTGTACTCTTACACGTATTATAATAACACAGTTGTAAAACAGTGATTAGATAAATAAATTTTGTTATTTATATATTCTTCGCTGCAAAAACCCAGATCTTTGATAAGTTTGATCAATAAGAATTCAGTTCGAGTAACATATCGTTTGCCAATTGTTTTCGTTCTTTGCCAACCTCTAACTACAGTCTTAAGTTCCACCCCCGTATAAACCTTTCCTATCTCTTTCCTAGCTCTTAAGAGCTACTGTAACACAGAAGATAATTAACTCTCTCAAGTTTACCCTAAGTCAGTGCAGATCCGACGTAATTGTGCATAATGCAATTTACACCGAGGGACTTTTCCCGTTTATACTTACCAACTGTGGAGATATATGTGTCATAGTACCTTTCGTCACAAAACCTGTGGACTAGGCACGTCTTTCCTACGTTCACATCGCCAATTACCAACACCTTGTACGTGGCTGTGAAGTCGACAGCCATGGCTGGGAACGGAGGAGCTACTGCCACCCCGAACACAGACACACTGACTCATTCTTACCTATTGATCTTACATTCCCGTTTTCTCTATATCGGAGAAATTATCGTTTTCTTTCTTGCCAGAGGGTGTGATTGCTTGTTTATTCGCAGGAGTGCCTCTTATATACCAAGAACAAGATCTCAATTGTTGAAAAAATATATATACACAGGGTATTATATTTGCATGAAAATCCAAAGCCATTCCTTTCACTTACCTAACCACCTACTTGCCCTCCCTTAGAGATATAAGAACATAAGAAAATAAGGAGTCTGCATTAGGCTGGTTGGCCTGTGCATGGCAGCTCCTGTCAAGAGTTACAACCACTCTCTATCATCCATGAATCTATCTAGCCTCCTTTTAAAACTTTTCAGCGTTCCAGCACTTACTATAAAGTTGCTAAGCTTGTTCCACTCGCCCACCACCCTATTTGTGAACCAGTTCCTTCCTATCTCCCTCCTAAACTTATCCAACTTAAATCCGTTGCTACGAGTCCTATTCTGCTCGGATACTATAAGAACTTTATCTATATCTCCTTTATTGATTCTTTTCACCCACTTAAATACTTCTATCATATCTCCCCGCACTCTTCGTCTTTCTAGGGAATGCAAGTTTAGTTTCTTTAACCTATCCTGATATGGAAGGTTTCTAAGTCCCGGAATCATTTTCGTCATTCTTCGCTGCACCGACTCCAGTGAATTGATATCCAATCTATAATAGGGGCACCAGAACTGAACCGTATAATCGAGGTGCGGCCTGACTAGCGCAAGATATAGTTGCAATAAGACCTCTGCACTCTTATTACTTACACTTCTAGATATAAAACCTAACACTCTATTTGGCTTATTTCGCACATTAACGCACTGTTTTCTAGACCGTAGGTCCGGGCTTACAAGTACCCCTAGGTCTCTTTCACAAGTCGACTTCTGCACCTATGATACTCAAATCTGAAATTCTGAATCATGATACGAATATTCTGAACAAATGTCTCAGGCCTATGTATTCATATATTCATTAATTGCTGGACAACAATCGGTACTGAAACGAGCGAACTAGTGGCGTTACTATACATACATCGGGAACCCTGTAATTGTACACGAAATCTTACTCCAGCCAGTCCGTGTCCTGTCGAAACCACTTGCTCAATACGCACATAAAACACGCTTTACTTGAAAATTTAAAAGTCTGTGATCTGTGTATTTATGTTGTCTTAATTACAGGCACTTTTTCCATATGTTCCTTATATGAGCTTGAGTATGGGCCTATGAGGAACATATTTCTCAGAATGTTGTTCTTTCTCTGCCCTGCTTCCTTTCCCGTTTTACTTTCTGTTGCTGTCTATTATTCAACTTTTCTTATCAAAAAATTGCTTTCACTCACCATGCATTTATTTAATTTTCCTAACATTATACTCTTAAAGTCTGATCTATATCATTCAGTGTTCTTTCCGTTTCATCCATTTGCTAATTGTTCACTCTAATTTTGCATGTCATCTATTTTCTTGTTACTGTATACCTCACGTAACCAGTCTTTTGCACTATTAAACAGATCATGTACTTTCTACCACAAATCGACTGCAAATAAATTAGAATAAACATAGAATTAACGATAAAAAAACGTTCAGACTAATATAATATTAAAGATAAACCAAAAGCTGTGAATTAAAACAAAATGAATGACTGAGGTTAACCCTCACATACCACAAACTTTAATTTCTTCTCAACAATAACAAAGACCATCTCATATCTGTTACAGGTTTAAAAGGACATGTGATTTATTTACTTTGAAATTTTCATCCAAAAACAGTAAACGTCATATTACTGCTCCGTTCCATCGCCAATTTAGATAAACGAAGTGCATAGGAACAGTTCCTACTATAGGGGATTCAAGAGAATAGATTCTCGGTTATACTTGTACTGTAGCCTACAGAGACTCGTGACATGCCTGCCCTTCACTCTAATCTTTGCCCAATCTCTTCCTACACGTTATTATTGTTTTCAAATTCCCGGAATCCCGTATATTTTCATACAATATATATATATATATATATATATATATATATATATATATATATATATATATATATATATATATATATATATATATATATATATATATATATATATAGTACTGTATATAATTTTTTTTTTTTGCAAACTTGACTGCTAACGCTCGACATCAGTGACCTCAGATCGTGATACACCTTTCCGTCATTCAGTCAACCCATTAGTACTGACAGTAGTTTACATTCAGATAAATACGTGTATTAGATGAATGGCCCGACAACTACAAGTATTTCATCAAATACAGTACTGTATGTTTTTGTTGGGTCTTTGTTATGAATTGTATTTTTCTTGATTTTTTCCCAGTCACATGTAAAATTCACGATGCTATATTTTTTAAACATAAACATGGTGTATATCGAAAAGTTTTCTTTCTTTCTTCGTGGGTAAGGGCCAGTCTGCTTGGACGTAATCCTTGTAACTTGTGAGATATAAGAATGAATTCACTTGAAAACTACACTGGTACCCCTGTGTCATATGTGGTATCAACAGAGTACATGCACAGTTTTAAATCCTATAGGCCTAAAAATCCATTAGAGGCTGTGTGTATTGTATCCACACTGCCTCTTTGGTACAGTACAAAAAGAGGCAGTGTGGCCAACACTAGATTTGACTGCTTGCACTTCACCTCTAAAGTTAAGAACCCATACACAGTTGGGTGAACCGAGGGGATTACCCTGTATGCAATGTAATGATTCAAATGTTGATAGTACAGTACTGTATAGTACAGTAACAGATTTTAAACCCTTGTGTATGGGGTCCCCTCTGAGCTAAATAAAATCGTCTGGTATTAGCTAAATAAAATACAGGCATTGAAAGTGGCAGCCCTGTAGTGAAGGGGTCAATAACAGTTTTGCACTTGGCTGTTTTTGTGTTCCTATGTGAATTTAGAATGGATAGAAGGAAAGTGAAATTTAAATAAATTATGATTGAAAAATAAAACTGATGGAAACTTATAATTCCACTTTACCTCATGGAAGAAAAGCTGTAGTGATCGTCGGATCGTACAAATACAGCAGGGGACAACCAAGTGAAATTTTCATTCCCCATTTGCCAAGCAGGAGATTACATCATGGCTACAGTGGCATGTGAAGCCAAGTTAACATCTGCTGAAAATGAAAGAAAAAATATCACTGAACTTTGTCTGATTATAGCAGGAAAGAACAACTGAGCATTCCTGTCTGATCCTAAAAATAAATACAGTACACTACAGCACAGGGGGACCGCACTGTACGTTGTTGCGCTGCATGTCGTTTCACACTGACGTCGTAACTAATTGAATAATTCGTCATAAAAATTCCATGTGTCATTTTCAACTCATTTAACTTAATATAAACAATGTTGGAACTTGAATTCTGGTCCCTTTGTATCTTATCGTGTCGATTGATCTTCACGTTCATTATCTCTACTATATCTGGCGTTATCCTTAAACGTTCAATGAGTAACAAGTACTATTGTGCAGATGGTGAAGAAAAAGTATTACACTGGATCTTAGGTTGGATGTTACAAAGTGTAGTAAAGGTGAACACACCCATTCCTTAAGGTAAGATAAACAAATTTGTAGGCTTGACATTTATTTTTTTTTTAAATGTCTGAAATTATGTCTTACACTAAAAATGCAATTCTGTTTGAGTCATTGTTTAATTATATCACAAATACTTTTTCTCTTCTACAAGTAGAAAATTACTTAAAAATACAGTAATTGTTCCTACCTTTTACATTATTTCTTATGGAAGAAATTATCCCACATTGTGTTGCATCACCAACATAAACACCTTTACAGTCTCTATCCCCCTGTATTTACATGTGTTCTTGTGGGGGGAAACTTCTCCGCTTAACGTTGTTTCACTTTAAGTCCCATGACTTTAGTCCTTAGCCCCAAAGTATTTCAGGGACCCCTGTACAGTATTACCAATTTTAGACTAGTTTGTTCCTGTTGAAATCATTTAAATCAGATATATTAAAATTCAGTGATGGTTTGTTTCCATTCATTTTAGGACTTAAATACTGTAGTATCTCTTGCCATTGGACACAACTTAACACCCACATTGTGTCCGTAGAAGGGGCACCTGACCTAGATATTTTAGACTTTTTGTAGATAAGAAAATTTTTCCTTACCTTGAGGATAGCCAATGTAATTTTGGTGGTCAATAAACTAATCTATCTAATCTATGTATCTATCAACCTTTGGAACGGTAACTCACACATTGTGACTTTGCATAGTTTTCTGCCTGAGAAATTCAGAGGCCATTTCTTTATATGAATAATATGAACCAAATATTTAACTTATCCTATCTAACCTTTCTTATTTCAACCTAATTGTGTTGCCAATTTTTTAGGTTATAATAATTAAATTTGGTTAGTTCAAGTCATCTTTAATAAATGGCTTGATGTAGCAATCTGACAACCAACATTTGTATAAAGGTAACAAGTATAAAACTTAACATATTTTTTTTTTACATTTCTTTTGTACATTTTAGTAACCATAGACAAAGAATTTATTTGATATTGAAAAAACACAAATGAAAAAAAAAACATCAATGACTAGGCACTTAATACAGTACAGTAAATATTGAGAAAGATTGAGATCTCTGGCAACTCTACTTAAAAAAAAAAAAGTTCAAGCATGGGGGCTGTTGAATGTAAGCTTTCTTGGAAAAAAAAACATTGAAAACTAATCGAAGATGAATATTCTTGTATCTGAAGATGTAAGCCATACACCTGTACTATTATTTTGCTTTTGTTATTTTTTTACATTAGTTTAATTCTATCTGTGAGGAACATTTATCATAAAAACCTTAGAGAATCTAGACTCAGACCCACCAGAATTTTTATTTCTTAATATATTCTGTAATACCTCAACAAAGGCCTGCTAACTGGTCTAGAGGTACAAGATGCAGAAAATCTAAAACAAAATGCTGAGTGTTTCCC